CCAAACACTATGATACTGCTTTTTGTTTCCAAAAGCACTTTTACAAAAAAGTTTACCAAACACTTTGCTGGCTTTATTTCACAGCCGCTTATTCTCACAGCACAGCCACTTATTCTCACAGCAGCTTTTTTTCAAAGCACAGCAATACCAAACCAGCCCTTAATTTTTAGGTTGAAAATTATTGTTGTTGTTTTTTATTACCGTTATTGTTGATTTGGAGATGCTACGTGTCATCTGGCCTTCCGGTTCCGAGGTTTCGCGTTGTTTCTAGAAGATAGCTAGCCTATGATGGTTGTGTGGGTTTGGATGTGGACATGCCTATATGGCGGACGTGAGTTTTGCTTTGTGGGCTAATCTTTGGGCCGATCTGGACCCAGAAGTCCAAATCTTATCTTTCATATCTCAATTTGTCTTCATGCAACCAAAAGCCCATCCAAAAGAAAAATAACACTACTTAGCTGCTGTAAATTCAGTAGCAACTTTTGCTTCTATCTAATTACAGATGGACAAGTGTTCAATCTGTATTTAAAATTTTAATTATTTGGACACACATTCATCTGTGGTTGAATGGAAGCAGAAGTTGCTGCAGAATTTGCAGCATCCAAGTAGTGTTCAAAGAAAAAAAACATGAAACCTTCCTCTATGAGTCCATCCATCCCGACCGACTATTATATTGCTCGTAACTATCCGGTCGGGATGAGCACTAATAAAGAAAGAATCAATTTTCGTAAAAATAATTAATATAAAGTTATCAAAAAGTATATTAGGGAAATATTGGTGCGAAACACGGTTTATTGTCTTCATTTTTGAAAAATTTTATCGAATGAAATTTACCGAATTTATTCTCATATCCTATAAATAAATAAATAAATAAAATTTCATTTCACTTTTGTTTTAAAAGTTACCAAACAAGCTTTAAATATGGAGTTCTAACACGTGTCAGCAGAAAAAATATGAGGAAAATTAGAATGCCCTACATCTTTTCTATATTTGTTAGATTAAACATTCATCCTTTTTAAAGATTTGATTAAGGTGCCTTGATCAATTGCCACCTCAATAATTTTCTATTTATTTAATTTCCATGTCATTAATTTAAATGCATTTATATAGAGGCATAAGGTAACTTAGCAACTAATTGCCTACAATATAGGAATTTAATTTCGTCAATCCCCTTCTACATATTAAATGACATTTTTTTAATAAAATAAAATAAAAAATTAATTAACTAATTCCTCATTACCTTATTATCAGTATTTTAAAAAAAAATCTCTTTCTATAAAAAAATGTCTCAATAAAAAGTATTCAATATATATTTTTTCACTTATAGATATTTAAAAAATATACTTAAAATGACACACCCCAACCGAGATCAGGGCATGCTGGCCGTCACGTGGAGGTGACGTAGCCATGTGCACAGTGCGGAAGCTAAAGGAAATAATATAAAAGTACGAATAATTTAAAACTAGCATATGCAATGTGATAAAATAAGTGCTAGCGTAAGTGAGACGCTGAATTCAGAGCCTAAAGACTACAGCAGTCCAAAGAGAAGATACAACAATAGTGCACCCGAAGGTGACCCTACATCGGTGAGTGTCTGTTAGAAATGCCGGGACGTCCTCTGGGAAAACCACCGAACCCGCTAAGCTACTAGAACCTGGAGGGGCGCAAAACAAAAGCGTGAGTGGGCAAAAACAAATTCTTTGAAAACCATTTCATAAAATACATTCTAACCCCTCGCCGTAAAACCTGTATACTTCCCAGAAAATAAACATATATACGTATGTATAAATATGCCAAATATGCTCAAGGGTATGCCATCATGCTCAAAGGTATGCCGTCATGCTCAAAGCCTCATAATAATATGCAAGTGCTCAGGTATAAACCGTGTCAATAACTTATCACTGGCAGCCGGAGTCACCTAAAGTAACCTGTACGGCTGAATCTAGAGCTCAAATCTCAATCTCAACAACTAAACCTGCCCACGAGTCGGAACCACCTATAGTGGTCTGTACGACAAGCCTGGGTGTAATACATATAAACGCTCTAGTGCTACGATCACGTGAAGGCTGTACGAATAATCGCGGGTCACCTACGAGTCGGAACCACCTATAGTGGTCTGTATGACAGGACTGTGCACCTAACTTGGATCCAAGCTGAGCGTATGGTGCGGGAGGTGAACAACACGTGAAGGACTGTGCCCTACTCTGGGCGGGAGCACTAACACCGGGGGTGCAGGTTACGAGCTCTCTAAACATCTCTAATCACTATTGAATGCATAAATGAAATAACGCTTACCTGGCACTTACCTGTGCCTCCACAGCACCATTATATATATAAACGTATAAATGAATATATATAATAACCATATATGTAACTAACCATGCATAATCACCAATTATATAAAAGAAACGGCATATAACGAATAAGCATTTATACTAATTTCTGGGAATTATATGTATATAGGTATATACGGAAAACAAAAGCCCACTCACTGGTATGTGGAAGGGTCGTAGCCCCCTGCCTCGAGTGTGCACGCTCGTCCTCGAGATAGGAATCACCTATATGCGAATTAACTATAAAAACGTTAATTTTAAAGCACATAACCTTCCGTTCAAAATAACTTCTCATACATTGCTCAAAATTGACAAATGAATATACCAACGTGCTCTACACAACCTCAGGATCACAACCATATTTTTAGAAAAATTTTCCTCCGCCGCACGCGCCGGCCAAGGCACGGCCACACGCGCAGGCACTTGTGGCGCACACTGACGGCGTCAACTGACGCCGTTAGGAATATTCCGTCAAAACTGACAGATTCCGTTAACGGCGTCAGGAATATTCCGTCAGAATCCTGACGGAATATTCCGTCACCTTCTTTGGCGAGTCACCGTCGCCGGAAAACCTGCAACTTAGGTTTTCTCGCTCATTTTTCAACCGTTTTTCATGATTTTTGCACCAAAATGAAGCTTAGGACTAGTAGAACACGATCCTACAAGTTTTAAGGCCTAAAACTACAAGATTATACATGTCCAAAACTCCAAAACTCGGCCAACTCCACAACTAACGCTCCTGACGTCCAAAATCGTCCAACGAAGCACTCCCAAGCTCCTTGGGACCTCACAAAGACATCTACAAGCTTCAAAATCCCAAAAACTAGCTAGGTTAATTTTGCATGAATAGTACCCCAAACGGAGCTTGTGAAATCGACGTGAAAACGTCGAAGTTCTGACCTGATTTTGGTATGATCTTGCTCCCCACGACCTCACGATCACAACTGAGTCCTTGGTTTCCTCGATCTGTGATGTTTTAGGGTAGTTGTGTGTGTGTCTGTACGAGTTTGAAGGAGAAGAAGAAGGAATGGGGTTCTCGGGGGAAAACAGAGAGAGAGACAAGGAGAGTGACAGTGTGTGTGTGTGTGTGTGGCCCAACACATGTCACACCACACAAAGCAACCAATAATGTAACGAAAACAAACTAGGGGCAAAACAGTCTTTTCACACGTACGTTTCCGATAATTCCGGGACGGGATGTCACATAAAACTTATGGTACATTTGAGAACAAAAGTATCAACTTTTGGTACGTTTAGATTTTAAATATACCATAAAACTAAATATACCCATTGTTATATAACCCTTTTAGTACGTTTAGATTTCAAATGTACAGATAAACCAAATGTGCCCATTGTCAGGTAACCCTTTTGGTACGTTTAGATTCCAAATGTACCAAAATACCAAATGAACAAAAAATCACAAATGTACCACAAAACCAAATGTCTCTATTTGATAACCCTTTTGATAAATTTACATTCCAAATGTACAGAGAAATACAAAAAATCAAATCCACTGTAAAACTAAATGTGTCCATATTATAGGTAACTAGATGTAGCTATATAATCAAACAAATCTTTATTATGTGTTGAGTCTTCTAAATAATAAAATTTGACAATTTTTTTTATAAATATTCTACTATATTCACAAAAACAAAAGAGTAAAATTATAACAAACAATAAAAAAATGCATAGAAATGGATAATAAATGCATAAATATAGGGATAAGAGGAAAAGAAAAAGAAAAAAAATACGAAATGTCCAGGAAAAGTTGTGAAAACCTAAAATTCTAAACAAAATAAATTTATGTGAAAAACTAAAATTAATAACCAAAATTTTAGGAAAATGCTTGATCAAATTTTCAAAAGGAGTGTATGTTTAGTCTAAAAAATTAAAAAACAAGGCGCCTATATCAAAACGCCCAAAAAATATGAGATACACAAATTAACTAAAAAAAAGTTGGATTAGGATAAATTTTGTCATTGCATGGGTGACAAACAGTGTAATAACGTTGAATTTTACTAGCATTTATTTCAATTATTACTCTGAGCTAGTCCATGCAAAGCGCTATTCTTGTTTTTTTTTATTTAAAAAAAACCTCAATGATACAAGTAATATTTTATTATAAATGAATTCTTTTTATTGAAAGCATTGTACGTGGTATGTTCCACAATTTTTATTGAAACCACTTTAAATGAATTGCAAGTAGAGAGTTATAAACAAATTAGCATGAGATGAGATGTACACTCACATCATAGGTTTAAACTCTTACCATCTTTCGTACGTACACGGTACACCACACAATAAAACTAGCAAGGGTATATTGTACTTTTTGATTCCGTACATCGTGGAAGTACGCTAAGACAATGTTTTGTCTTTAAGCAATTATAAAAAGAAAGTTCGGAACAGTGCAATCAATCTTTATACTTGTAGAAAAGATGAATTATCTTACTATTGAAGTTTTGGTGATTCGTAATACTCGCAATAAACATACATGACATATATAATTCGTGCATTATTACACGTATCAAAAATTCACCGTTGCATTTAAAAAAAAAAAATTCATAACAATCTTTCTTATTACTGATAAAAGTATAATTGAACCCAAACAAGCAACCGAAGCTCGAACAACCTATAAATGCCAACAAACCATAACATGATACATTGTCTTAAGACTCATCCGAGCAGATCGAGCGCACAAACCCAACATCATGAGAGAGAGAGATTTCGGAATTATAACACCATCCTTTACCATGATCAGCGTGACCAAATATTATAAACCCTACTTTTGGGGGGTGGTGTTTATGGGGTTCAAAATATGCAAGGAGACAAAGCATAGTGGGTTTGACGAGAGAGACAGAGAGATGAGATGACATGGGCTGCTCACATGGAAGATGATAGCATGAGATTTAGGAGAGAGAGGAGAGAGAGGAGAGAGAGGGGAGTGTACATGTACATGGCATCTGTTGTACATGGAGCACTTTCCGGGTTATCAAAAGCCCTTAATTCTGCTGGAGTTTTTTGCTGTCTACCGTTACGGCTAGACTGTTAAGTGATAAAAAGCAGACCCCCTTTTCCCCTCTCTCTCTCCCCCTCTCTCTTCTTATCTCCTCTCTCACTCAAACCCATTACCTCTTTCTCCTCCAATTTCAAAACCCTAATCCCAATTTCCTGCTCGGATCTTCTTTGCATGTCGATTGGGAAATGCATCGCTAGGTGAGTTTGTTTAAACCTCATTGTTTCTCTCCCAATTGGATTGTTTTTCAGCTGATTTGTCACTAATTGGAAAAACCCTTTTGAGTTTTTCACCAATTGTTCAATCCCTAACACCAGTTTTGTGCATCTATCAGCTCTGCATGTTGATCAGGAAATGCATTGCATTGGTGAGATACCTTTCTGGGTTTTTGTTCATTTGTTCGTTTATCTGGTTTATTCTGTTGTGTGAATATGTTCAATGGCGGGGGAGTGAATTGTGGTTTCTTCAACCAGGAAATGTGATTTTATCAGGATTTATATGATGGGTTTTGATCTGCATAATCATGGGATATTTTAGGATTTTTTTTGCTTTTGATGTTTCATTAATTTCTGGTAATGGGTTTAAATTTGTTGATTAGTTTTCGTTTTCGTGGGTGTGTATGAGTTTTCATGTCCTTGGGATCCAATGCATGGGTGATATATATATATATATATATATATATCCTGTTGTTGTCTTGGAAATCTCTCTCTGTCTCTATTACTGATGTGCAATATTGGGATATTTTCTACCGGTGAAGAATTCCTCATAAGGTTTATTATGATTACTAATTTTTGATTCAAGCTCAATGGTTCTACTCGTTTATTTCATGTGCATTTAGAGAGTGTTAATAATAACAAAAATTTACTGCGTGCCTTGAGCTGTATCTGTATTCTGTAATGATACAAACTAAGAGAGTGTCCTTTCATTTTTTTTTTTCTTTTCAAGTTTATGAAAGTATAAAAGAGGTTGCATTGTTTCTGGGGGAATTGAACCATCTGTGTACCTTCATGGGGTTGCAGTCCTTGATCGAGGGATTAGACTGTTTTATGTCATTGTGTGTGTTTATTTCCTGACTAGGTTAATATTGGAAATGACCGTCTTGTTAGGAAAAGGATGGTTTAGAACATGGAATGTTAAGGGGAGAAAGTTTCTTTATCTATTTCCTCGAACTAGGCTTTTGGTGTGAAATGCATGGCACCAATATATTACTAATTACTAATATCTTCTTTTTATCTATAAAAATCAAAACAACTCATTGTATTTATGATTTTCTTTCTGGAACTGAAGGTTAGTAGGCAATTTTGTTGATTTATCAATCATAGCAACGTGCACTACCTAAATCTTGGTTGTGATGTGTGTTTTGGGATGTAACTAGTTCCTCTTCAACATGCACGTAAAACAGGACGATTGCTTTAAAGAATTTAGACAATTTTGTTTTCAAGTTTTTATGCAAAGGGAGCTGGTTATATACAAAACTAAGGGAGCTTATTATCTACAAAACTGTCTCCCCACATAAAAACCAGCTCCCAATACGCAAAAACCATCTACCCTGTAACTACCAACTCTTATCACTCTAAAATAAATGCATGTCATTGTTTAAAATGTATAGTGAGTTGAGTTACAAGTAAGCATTTTCGACATTTTCAAATTTTATACAAGTCCAATAATATCCTTGTTTTTTGTCAAAATTTTATTTTATTTAAGCAATCTTGTATCCATTTTTTTCCTCGTTGAATACTGAATGTACTAATGTAAAATGGTTCTAATATCTCCATTTTACGTAATTCCCCCTCTTTTCAAGACTGCAGACATTTACTTATGCATGCAGGATACATGAAGGGTATTTCTAACATGAATTGTGGTGTCCTGTCAATGAGAAACTACATCATTAATAATATGTTTGAAGATTCTTCCTTCCTATTAAGCAGTGGCAAAACTAGAAATTTTTCATTAGGGGGACCGTTTATGATTTAACTGAAACTAAATAAGAGCCAAATGCATTTTTGATATAATTTTTTTATCTTATTTTGGACGATCTTTCAATTATAGTACATACATTCATGTAGAAAAATGAATATTGGCGAAGTGGTGTATAGCAGCCTAGTGAACTGGTGAAGGCGATGTACGGAAATCACGAGGTAAATATGAGTGCATATTGGCGTATCTTGTGTAAGTTAGATTTGGAATCCACTGATCATATCTTTCTTCATTGTCCATACACTTTGGGTTTGTGGTTGAAGCTGGACAGTGAAGCTCACATTTTGTTTGGAAGGGTAAGAAAGTGAAGGTGATGTGGGGTTGCAGAATTCTCGCTGTGTTTTGGGGGCTTTGGATGGAGAGAAATTTTTGAAGATTATGTAGGAGCTTGTTTTCCGGAGCTTTGGGATAGAATTAGGTTTTTGTCAGCCCTCTGGGCTGCCATTTGTTCTGAGTTCAGGGGAATTTCTCTCTCCTGAATTTAGGTAGATTAGAAGGCGGCTTCCTTTTAGTTTCCGTTAGTGCATTCTTCAGCTTTGTGGAGTTGTCTTTTTCTATTTTTGTTTCTGCTTGGGTGGTTTGCGTGACCACCCTTTATGTTGTTTGACTGTTTCTCCTTCTTTCCTCTTTTAATATAGTCGTCTCTTTATAAATAAAAAATGGCGTTGACTTGTTTAATTAGTAATCTTATATTTAAATTTTATATAAATTACTGTTTAAACAACACAGATTATGTGAGACTAAAGATTTGAAAGACTAGTTGTCTTTCCACGTGTGAGAATTTGAGTCAGATAAGGTTCCTATTGTTTATGTTGTAAAAGTTCCTCTTCTTTGTTATTATAATAATTAATTAGTTTGAAGTGATTGCAAATGTTATTCATGTGAAGTTAAGAATAGTAAAACACAGCGAGAAATCTTATTTGGTTGACAATAGTAATTAAATGCATTTTGCATTTAGGTCTAGGCAATGGAGTTCTATGTTGCCACTTGTTTGGTAAAATGTTATATAAGTTATGTTACTCATTTACTAATTATGGGAATATACACACACCCGCATGTACCAAAATGTCTCATAAGAGCCTTAATTAAATTTTTAGATGAGATCATGTTTCTTGACCGTTAGATCATAGATGGGTTTAGGGTTTAAGGAGAGAGAGTTATGATGTCTTGCCTCCTGCTTATGAAAAAAAAAAAACAGTATGTGTGTTTGTGTGTAGAGAGAGAGAGTTATGATATTTTGCTTAACGGTTTGACATGTTCTATTGCCATAATGTGAATAAGAATTAAGTGTTTAGGAGTTTGTTTTTTCTTGTTTTCTTTTCTTTTTAGATGCTTTTGATGCTCCTGTTGCATTTTACCTAGTTTCTATAGGAGTTCCAACATTTATAGGTCTGTCAGTGACTCGGTAATCAGTATCAAATTGGTGTGAATTAAGCCCAATCTGAATATGAATTCTATTTATCCATGTACGTTTGAATGAAGTTGAAATCTGAAAGAACGTCCACAAACTCAAACTCAATCAAGATTTGAATATTTGCACTGTATGTACATACTAAAAGATTTAAATGGATTAAAAAATATTCTAGTTGGAGCTTGATCTGATTATGGTCAGCTGCTACGAATTAAGTTTAAATTAACGGCTGGATCTGTTGGTCTGTTAGGGTATCGATTTTTAGAGGGATATATGGATTGCATTTGAATTTTGATTGGTATCTGTAATGTAAGTGTTCGGGTTATTTTGTGATTTTCCTTATTGGAGGGAAGGGAGTTTGGCTGTTTTGTCTTTCAAAAGCTATAGAGTTAATGGAAGAATTGAGGTTTATATTCAGTTTTGCCGTATACCGCTAGGAGTGATTTTTGGATGTTGTTAATTATATGAGTTCTACATCCCAATTTTTTAATGCCCTTTTCCTTGTGATTGTAGATTCTTCAACAGTAGTTGGATTGTTTGAGCTAAAACATCAGCTTTGAATGATGACATTGATGAGGAACACTACGTTGTTTTATATGCAGTGATTTGTGAATGAAGGCCATGTAGTATTGCCTTTTCTGATGTTGGATATATATATATATATATATTTATATATATTCACTAAAGAAAGGAAGAGACTGAACAAGTTTGCTCTCAATTAGTAAAGATGTTATTTTCCAGGTACGGAGATTACCATGGCTTTGGGGTTGGCAGTTATTAAATGACTTTACCTGTACTTCAGTATTTATAGTGATTTTGTCAAGGGCAGATTCCAGATTTTCAGCAGCAGTTAAACAGAGGAATATACAGCAGGGTAGATCTCACCTTTCGTGCTGATGGTTATATGTAGTGCAAATTAGGAAACTTAAGGAAGACTGGTAAAGTGGAACTGCTGTGAGTTGACAGAGATGTTTCTCAGCAAAGAAATTGACGATTTGCATGATGATGGGTTTGAAGGATCGAAAAATGAGCACTGTATATTCACAGAGGTTTTCTTTGGTCAAGACATTGGTCGTACTAGTAATAGATGTCTTGTTACTGGAATGATTAACTTTGAATGTGAGTCAAGTAAGAACACTGATGGAGCACCGTCTCCAAACAGTGAAAACTCAGTTGTAACGAGTCACTCCTCAAAAAATATCTGTTTAGAGGAGTTTTATAATGCAGCCGAAGATTTTAGAGAAACCTCTGCACCAGGGTTTTCCTTGGACAGATCTGCTATGTTAGATAGGAATGGTGATGATGCGACTGTTAATAGAATGAAGGTTTCAGTTGATGAGCTTCCTAATACCAAACCTGGTTTAGGAAGGGTCACATCTGGTCTAGCTTCAAACTCTGTCTCTGAAACAGTGACATTTCGTTTGGTTGAATCTTCTAGCCAGGGAGTCACGTCTAGTTGTTATCTGTTTAAGCAACATGCAGAACTTAACAAACTGGGCGTAGCAGGTGACCCAGATGTTTCAAAGTGCAGATTGCGAAACTCAGATGGGGATGATAGAAAGGAAGTCTGCCTAAGTAAAGCTATTGCTTCACATGAGAACTTCTTGACCAGGCTTCTGGTTGCAAGTCCATTAGCCACTGTTATGGATAAATCCAGAACTCCTCTACATTCTGAGGGAAAGCCCAACGGATTTGAATCTTCTGTTTTGGATGTCTCCAATGTTGCCTTGAAGACGGAGAATAGTAAGGACCCTCGTCCGCTTCTCCGATATCATGTTGTTCGCTTGCTTGAAGCTGCTGGATGGCATATTGAGAGGCGAAAAAGACCTAGTAGAAATTATATGGAGACTGTTTATATAACACCTAAGGGAAGGTTAATTTGGGAACTCCCCAAAGCTTGGCGGTTATGTGGAGAAATTCTGTTAGCAGATGGGTACAGTATGCTGCAGGAAGATACAAAGGAGTGGGCCAATATCAGTCAGTTCTGGTCAGATCTGTCTGGTGTTTTAGTAAATATTGAGAAAGAGATTCATCATCCACAACCTGCTACTGCATTGGCTTACTGGTGGAGGCTCTTAGATCCTTTTGTGGTTGTCGTGTTTATTGAGAGAAAGATTGGTAGTCTAAGAAAGGGAGAGATAGTTAAAGCAACTGAAAGTATAGCTGATTCGAACCGTAAGATTGATTCTGCTTTGGCCTTGACTAGTGCCAATAACATAGAAAGTCATTTTACTAAGGAAGATGTGTCAGCTCCTCTCCGTGAGTCCACACTGGCTAGGAGGGTTGGATTAGCAGTTTCTAAGCGAGATTACAATGCCTGTAGGAAATCTGGTAATGAAAGTTCCTCAAAACATTGCGGACAGACAAGTAATGAGGAAGTGAAATTTCTTATGGGACTGTCTATTTATTCAGCTCATGCAGAAAGTCATTGCTTGGTGAATGCTGGTAATAGAGTTGAAAATGGGTTCTCTGGGAAAATAACTTGTCCGGATTCCTTACCAGTTTGTGGGTCTGGTGGCATTTGTATTCAGTCAGCTACTCATCGAGATGATCCTATTACTTCTAGAAATTGTAACAATGTGCATGGAGGTTCTGAAGCTGTCTCGCCTCACCAAGATGGCAATGCAAATTCCCCTGGCTCTAATAAACAGAGTTCTGGACTTGATTTAGAAACGCCTAAGGAAGTTATGGAAGACACCTCAGTGGATTCTTCTGAGGAAAAAGATGAATTGGAGGGAGGCAAGGTTGATGATAAGCTGGAAAGTGCTCAGAAGGGATCATTAGATAACCAAAGAAACTACACAATTGATGTTCTGAAAAGAAAAACACGTAGGAAGTCTAAAAAGATATCTGAAATTGAACCAAGCTCGTTATACCGAAGTGGCCTTTTAGATTTTACTTCAAGTGAGAATGCTGATTCCCTGTGTATTGATGCTAATGGTGCCCAGTCAAAGTCGACAGAGGTCCAAGATGAATTTACAGGCAATAAAAGATGCAAAGGAAGTCGCAAGATGTACTTACCTACCGACTCTTGCCAGCAACAGATTGGGAGAAAAAGTTCAAAGTTGATGAAGATTTCACGTGAATGTGATGATGTCCAGACTGGAAGAAGTAAATCATTTAAATGCCAAATTGAAGATGATGACTTGTTGGTTTCAGCTATTATAAAAAATAAAGATTTTAGGACAACGCATGCTCAATATTCTTCTAGAAAGAAAGCCTACAAATCAAGAGCTCATAAGAAAGGTAAAACTAAAAGCCAAAAGAGTCGTTGCAAGTTGCTTCCAAGAAGCCTGGGCAGTGGGGGAAAGCACTTTAAGGATGGAAAGTGGCATTCTGTAGGAGTGAAAACAGTTTTGTCTTGGTTAATTGATGCTGGGGTCTTATCTCCAGATGATGTGATTCAGTATCGGAATCCTAAGGATGGTGGTGTCCTTATAGATGGTCTGGTTACCAGGGATGGCATTTTTTGCAAGTGTTGCAGTAAAGTAGTTTCAGTTTCTGAGTTCAAGAGTCATGGTGGGTTCAAACAGAATCGTCCATGTTTGAATCTTTTCATGGAATCTGGTCAGTCCTTCACCTTATGCCAGCTTCAGGCTTGGTCAGCTGAATACAAGACCAGGAAAAAGAGCACCCACGTCGTGCGAGATGATGAAAATGATCAAAATGATGATTCATGTGGACTTTGTGGTGATGGTGGCGAGCTGATATGCTGTGATAATTGCCCCTCTACTTTTCATCAGGCTTGTTTGTCTCTGCAGGTTTGTTTTTGCTGATTTTTAGATACGTTTTGTTTATTTTTCCTGAAACTTCCTCCTTATTTTTTGTATCCATTCCATTCTATGTTTTTATAACTTTTGCACGGTTGGTTCTAGCGCCTCTAAATGTTTTCATAACTAATTATGCTTCTGTTCAGCTTAAACATTTCGTTAAGAAAATATGTCTATTTCCATATTTTCACACAATTAGATTACTAATTATTAACTTTTTATATATTTTATTCATAGAAGGATTCTTGTTGATTTGCGACTGTTTTGGAGTTTATACTTGTTTTTCTCTTAATGTAAACTAATCATCTGTTTTTGCTTTTGAACTTCAGGAGCTCCCTGAAGGCAACTGGTATTGCTCGAATTGCACCTGTTGGATATGTGGTGATTTCGTCAATGATAAGGGGGCTTCAAGTCCTGATGGATTTAAGTGTTCACAGTGTGAGCATAAATGTAATTTTCTTGTTTCTAGATTATCTTTCTTGTAACTAAAACTGTTTTCAGTACATGTAGATAAGTTGAAGTTTTATGTGGTATGTACATGTCTAACTATAACATGGTGCCTAATATTCTCTTCAATCGCAAAGATGGTATATTGGTGTTCTAATATTTATTAGAAAAATAAAAGGATAATTACCCTTCTTATATTTATAGAAGTTAATTTTCCACAATTTCCTTCGATGGATATTCAACACCAAAATGTGATCTATTTTTATCCATATTTTCTCGTTAGTAGATTTTAATTTATATTCGCTAGAGAGCATTAGAAGCTTGTTGGAGTTGATTAAAAACATAAGTATTATATATGAAAGTGGACAATAAATCGCCATAAAAAGTAACTTGGTTATGTGTTTTCATACTGTATAGTCTGTGTAAGGAAGTTCAACCCATTTTTGCCTATTAGACTACAAGGAATTGATTTTTTATTTCATGTTATTGTTTATTATCTCTGTTCTAATTAATCTCCTCTCTGTTATTAACTTATCAGTGGCCATCTTGTGATTAAGTTGAACTTACCCTTTTATTTATGTTCTTTTTTTTCTTCTTTCCATTGTCTAGCTTACCTTATAATTCTTTTATAAACAGATCATGCGGCATGCCTGAAAGATAAATGTACCTACGGAACCATACCGGATACTTATTTCTGTAATAGAAGCTGTCAGGAGGTAATTTTATATTATCTTATGAATAAAATTTCAATCAAGGAGGATTTGTCAGGATTTACACAAAAATAAATTAATGAGTTTTCCTGGCTTCTAGTTTTTTTCCTTGGGTGAATTAAGGACTTCCTTCAAATACTTATTTTCTTTTTACGTAAATGAAATATATAGTGGATTTCCTTTCCTAAAACGTCATCCTACAACTTTTTGCACGTTTGTGATGAACATTATTTGGCTATAGGGAACCGGTGATAGAGTCAAGTAGTTGTTTCTTTGTTCATTGTGATTTGTTTCTTCCAAGTTGTCATAATTGTTATGAAAGAGCAATGTGATCAAATTTGCTTACTGTTTTAGGCCAAAAGAGAGCGTTTTGAATTTATTAGTCTTCATTTGCTATTCTTACTGGTTTTCATTAATTCGAATACTAATTTTAACGGTTGTGTGTAGGCTTATTCTGGTCTTCAATCTCGCGTTGGCTGCATTAATCATTTTGCTGATGGATTTTCATGGACACTACTTAGATGTATTCATGATGACCAAAAGGGTCATTCTGCTCAACGGTTTGCTCTTAAAGCAGAATGCAATACAAAACTAGCTGTTTCTCTTACAATAATGGAGGAATGCTTTTTGTCAATGGTTGATCCAAGAACAGGCATAGACATGATACCCCATGTTTTGTACAATTGGGGGTGAGATCATCTCTTTATTAAAGAATCGTGATTATTTTCCGACTTGATAAGTAGGGCTCTTAAAGTGTAGCTTTGAACAGTTATATCTAAAATATTACTTCCTCTTGCAATTTGCTGTAATTTGGTTTAAGTGAAGTTGCTTCTCAAATATCATTTGTATTCATGAAAATACTTATTGCTATTTTTGTGTAACTTTCAGGTCAGAGTTTGCACGTTTGAATTTTCAAGGCTTTTACACTGCAGTCTTGGAGAAAGATGATGCATTGGTATCTGTAGCATCCATCAGGTAGTACGAAATTAAGCTGTTTGTGATGTTATGTTATGTAATGTTTATATGTTAGTTGGTCCGTTCTTTTGATCTTCGTTTTGTTTAGGTTTCTCACCAGTATTTTGTTCTAATGTTTCTTTCTTCAGCTTGCATCCGCATTAATCTATTTTCTGTTATCTGTTAGCATGTTTTTCTTTCTTGTGAAAAATAAAAACTTCCTCGTTGATTGCTAGCTGTGCAGTTCAGTGACATTGTGGTTTTGACTTCATGAATGAATTATTAATGCTCCCTTGGAGCATCTTCAACATCTCCAACCAGAGTCAATTCCACGGTGGAGAGTTCTAATTGACACAATTAGGCAACTCTTAAATATTAGGCCCACTTGCGTTGAATAATAATAAAGTGCTATATTGATTTGACTTCTTGGGTGGAGTAGGGGCTATGCATATTTGCCACATGTGGTGTCGTTTGGCTGCACTCTAGAGGTTTATGAGTTTTATGTACGGTGTACGTCATGGGAGTGGGTACAGGACCAGGTACTTCAGAGGTTTTCAACACTTGGCATTGAAATATCTCTGCATGCATCGCCATCATTTTGATGCACGTACAAAGCTGTGCAGAAGCACACCGTTTGAGCTTTTCCACTGTTCTTCTCAGCTCTCCTGTCTTTACCAACCCAAGTTTTCTGAGTTTCTTAGTGCTTCATTGTTTTGATTTTGAACTTCTGACATATTTTGCCAACTTTGTTTGTTGCAGGGTGCATGGAACAACAGTTGCAGAGATGCCGCTCATTGCAACTTGCAGTAATTTCCGTCGCCAGGGAATGTGCCGACGCCTTCTGACTGCAATTGAAGAGGTATAGATGTAGAATATGTAGTTCATGGCATCTTCCTTGAAATAATTGTATTTATTTTTCTGCCAAAGATACACAATATATCAGGATTTATACCTATTTATGGAAACGTAGTTTACAAGTCTTCCTTTATTTCTAAATTCAGGATCAAGTAATATTCTTAATTTCTTAGAAATAAAAGTAGGATCGATCTGTGTATAGGTCGGACCTCCGATTTTAGAATTCACTGGTCCAGCAGATATTCGTCATTTGAGTCTTTTTATTGGTTCATGTTATTAATATGTTTCTTTCTCCGTGTGATTGTAGATGCTAATATCTTTTAAGGTTGAAAAGCTTGTCGTAGCTGCCATTCCCGATTTGGTAGAGACGTGGACACAGGGTTTTGGCTTTGTACCCATAGAAGGGGACGAGAAGCGTAGTTTGAACAAGATCAACTTGATGGTCTTTCCTGGAACAATGCTGCTCAAAAAACCCTTGTACGAAAATCAAAAAGCACATAGGCATTCAGGTAAGTTATTCTTTCCCCTCCTCGGGCATGTTCGGGAGCCTAATGTATGGCGTTCTGCTAATGACACTGATGTTAAAACAGAAGCAGAAATGGAAACCAGAGTTGTTGCTGATGCGGAGTTAGAAGTCGGTTCTGAAGCTGAATTCAACGATGCTATCCAGCCATCGGAGGGAACTGGTTGTCAGATCGAAGAAGGCTGGGAATCTGAACTTGGTACCAAGGAAGCAGAAGTTATGGGAAGCAAGAATGTGCAACGTGAAGCCGAAGGAAGCACTTTGCAGGGCGAATTTTCAAAGCTGTCTAGTGAAGAAGTGGCAGATCTAACATTAGGAAATAGTGACGGGCGTGAAACCGTGACTAATGTTGAATCCTTGAAAATGTATGATGAAATACAGCAGCAGCTTCCTTTGGACGAATAATCGCAGAAAAAAAAAAAAAAAGGCGATGTTGAAATGAATAAAATGGTTTAAGTTAGTGTCTTGTGCTCAAATGAAATATTCTGTGAGGGGCGTTGTCTTCAAGAAAGATTGGACCGTCGAGAAAACCAATGTTCTTGCTCAACTTTTTTTTTTTTAACTTTGATCTTGTTTGTTGACATTCGTTGTGTAGGGTACAGAACAAACTTTGATATTAGGTTTCAACCAATATGACACTATAAATCCAAAGTTTGAAATTTACATCTTAAAAATAGTGTTGGGATCAATTTGAAGAAAATAGATTATAAGTAAAAAAAAAATTCAATCCTATGTATGGAAGCATCATCATCCTAGCGTCCCGTGTTAATGATGCAACACCATGTTGAAAAAACTTGCACGCATCGATGTGTCATTGGCCATGTAAAGGTAGGGCGTTCCACTTAAATCTCACATTTTATTATTTAAATTTAGAATCCTGATTTCTTTCAAGAACAATTTTTTCGGTACAGCCATTTTCATACTAAAAAATTATCACTGGACTAAAAATTATTTGGTGATTTTTTTGTCATAAATGAACGCCTAAAAATCCTCGCCTAGGCGCTAAGCAGTTGGCCACCACCTTGATTAATCATAAACGTTTGAAAATTAAGAAAGAGTGCCTAGACCTACACAGGCGCCCTCCTAGGCACCCACTTAGGTCGTGACTCTCACTTAGATAGAAAATAGATAACTTTCATTTTGCATTTTATTTTTCCAATAAATTGTAAGAGATTTGTTACAACAATGGTTGACCAGTGAGATTAAAACTAAATCCTACTTGTGACAGCCCGTCCCGGATTATTCGCACCGTAGGTGCGAAATGACGGTTTTGCCCCTAGTGGTTATGTTCGTTGTGTGGTTGTTTTGGGGATTTGGTTGGCTGCATTTGGACCACACACGCACACCCACACCCTCATCTCCTTCCTTGTCCCGTCTCTCTTTCTCTCTTCTTCTTCTTCTTCGTACGGACCAAGACCAAATCCTTCAAAAACGTTGAAGATCGAGGTGGAAAACTATACCTTTGTGTTCGTGAGGATCATATGAGTTCAACCATACCCATTTCAGGTAGGAAATCCTTCGATTTCAAGTCGAACCATGGAACCCCGATTATGGTTACTGTTCATGCACACGTGAAATGTTATTTTTTAGGGAATTTTAAGCTTGTAGGAAGCTTAGTGAGGTCCTTAGAAAGCTTGGGGTGGTTTGTTGGAAGGATTTGGACGTCGGGATCGTGAGTTGCAGGTTTGGCCGGATTTTGTGAAGTTTCTCCGGCGAGATCCGTGAATTTCAGGGCTTGAAGGTGGTAAGGTTTTGTTCTACTTGTTGTAAGCTTCATTTTGGTACCAATTTCATGGAATTTGGTTGAAAAACAAGTGAGAAACGAAGGTTTGAAGTTTTTCCGGTTTTCCGGCGACGGTGACGGCACCGGAGGTGTGCCGGAGAAGAAGACAAAATATTCCATTAGTTTAGATGGAATATTCCTAATGGCGTTAGGTTAACTTTAACGGAATCTGTTAGTTTTAACGGAATATTCCTAACGGCGTTAACTGACGTCGTCAGTATGCTTAGCACGTGGTTGCGCGTGGCCAGTGCGTCTTGCCGTGCCTTGGCTGGCACGTGAAAGGTTAGAAAATTATTTTTAAAATATGGGGATGTTCGTGAGGTTGAGTAAATCACATTGGTGTATTCATACACCTCATTTGAGCTTTGTATGAGAAGTTATTACCTAGTTTTGGTTATGTGCTTTAAATTAACGTTTTTATAGTTGTTTTGCATATAGATGAGACCTATCCCGAGGACGAGCGCAGTCATTCGAGGCAAGGGGGTTACGACCCTTCTACATACCAGTGATTGGGCTTTTGGTTTTCCGTATATACCTATATACTTGTGGTTTTCCCAGAAAATGAAATGGAATGTTTATATGTTTTAAATGTCATGCATAACGTTTGCCTATTTATTTATGCATTAGTAGTTGCATATATGTATGTTTGGTGTTGTGGACGCACAAATAAGTGCCAGGTAAGTTATGGTTTATGATGATGTTTAGTAGTTATGTGAGATGCATAGAGAGCTCATAACCTGCACCCCCGGTGTTAGTGCTCCCGCCCAGATTAGGGCACAGTCATTCACGTGATGTTCACCTCCCGCACCACACGCTCATCTTGGATCCAAGTTAGGTGCATAGTTGTGTCGTACATACCACTATAGGTGGTTCCGACTCATAGGTGACCCGCGATTATTCGCCCAATCTTCACATAATCGTAGCACTTGAGCGTATTTACACCTAGTCCTGTCATACAGACCACTTTAGGTGGTTTCGATTTGTGTGCATGTATAGTTAGTGAGTTGGGGATTTGAGCTCTAGATTCAGCCGTACAGGTCACGTTAGGTGACTCCAGCTGACATATTACATTTCATTGATTGACATTACTTGAGCTACGTACATTTTATGTAGAGGCATTCGGCATGGCATATTTCTGTGCATATTTTCTATATATGCGTATATTCTATTTTCTGGGAAACTATACAGGTTTTACGGCGATGGGTTAGAACTTTTGTTAATGAAATGATTTTGAAAAGCTTTGTTTTTGCCCACTCACATTTTCTATTTTGTGCCCCTCCAGGTTCTAGTTTGGATTGCTCTTCTGGTGGCTTACGAGGAATTCATGGCATATCTGACAGATTATCACCAGTGTAGGACCCCCTCTGGGTGTGTTTAGTTAGTATTTGTTCCTCTGGACTGCACTAGGCTTTCTGTGCTCTAAATATTGTTTTTCACATTTACGCTTGCACATGTATGTTAACTACTCTGGGTGTAGTTTGATTTTTATTTGTTCATACTTTTATTATTATTCTTAGCTTCCGCACTGTGCACATGGTTACGTCACCCTCACGTGATGGCCAGCATGCCCAGATTTCGGTCGGGGTGTGTCACTAGCCCATATTGGTAGCACCTTATATTGCTCCACCCTGGCACCAATGCTTCGTGCAAGCAACAATGGTTGATGCGTGCGTCAACCCCACCTCGTTTTGTGTGCCGCATTTACGCCTAACCGCTAGGCCCTTGTTTGCCGCTTGACTAGTGCCTAAAACCTTTTAGAACCTTTTAAATAGAAAACAATATAAGAAAACAATTTTTCCAATTTCCCATTTTAACTTTTATTATTTCATTTAGCCAAATTTTCACTTAGACCAACTCCAATGGTTGGATAAAACTTATACCCGCCCAAAGCTTAGCCAATCATTGGGCAAAAAAGGTTGGATTAAAACTTATTCTTGGGCCAAATTTAGCCCAAAAAATGAGCTAAGGTTAGTGGCAAGGACTTAGTTGCTAACGTTGTCGGCCACTTGTGGAAAGACCGACGACAAATTTTTTATCAGACAACACACATAGTTGGATCAATAGCCTATATTCAATTTTTTTTTATATAAAAAAAATAAACTCTATATATACATTAAATCTGACATTTGAGATAGAATACGAGCAAATTTAACAGTAAAAAAAATTCTAACAACTCAAAATTAAATCCAAGGCTAAAACAATTAAAAATTTTATTTAAATCACAATTCACCCATACTCTATAAATACCTATGCATTTGTTCAAACATCCACACAAACTTCACTTCCATCAAACAAATTTTTTCTTTCTACCCACCTATTTATTTGTGTCTAAGAATGGGGCAGGCTGTGTGGTTTTCCACGTTTTTTCATGTGGTGCATATGTGTAAAATTGAGGTAGTTTGGTGATTTTTCATTATTTTACATAATATAAATATTTTTAGGTTGAAATGTCCATAAAGATACATTAGGACAATTTACATAAATTTTATTTTTGAAAAAGTTAACGAAAAATATTAGGCTAAAATCATTTCTTAATAATTTTGAGCTAAAATTTTAAGCCAAAACCATTAGAGTAGAAAAACCATTTCTTGGTTTAGAACCAAAAAATTTAGGTTTTAACCATAACCATTAGAGTTGGTCTTAAGGTACATTTCATTTAATGTCACTTTTTTTTTTGTTTGAACAAATGATATTATTTACACGATGGGGAAGGGATGGACTTAACCTTACAATGGGCTAGCAATAATGTAATTCAAATTCACCTTTGACGAGAATTGAACCTAAGACCTATCATTTATAAGTGAAGAGGAATACCACTAGACCGTAGTACTAAGTGACCATTTAATCACATTTTAATAATGAAAAATTAAGAAAAAAAATATACCTAAAAATGTACCCACCCAAGTTGGTCTTAAGCCAGGAGGATCCTCGTCCGATCCTCTTTGTAAGGATCATTCAACCACATTCGTTCATCATGCATCGTGCGATTAGAAATCATTGTAATTTTTTTTATTTAAAATTGAATGTAAACAGTACCTGATAAAAACTGACCGTACGATGTACGATCAACGAATATGATTGAATGATCCCCAAAATCCTCATAAAGAAAATCCGGCAACGATCCTCTCCCGATCTTAAGGTAGTCTTTGATTAACAAAAAAAGAAAAGGTACAAATTCATTAGCGAGAGGTCAACTGACGTAAGTATGTACCCAACTAACTTCACCCACTAAATTGACCCAAAAAAAAAAGTAATTCAGTAAATAGACCAAAAAAAAAAAAAAAAAGATCTACTTCACCAAAAAATTATGAAAAAAAAAAAAAGGTTTGTATCTAGACCAAATTGGAAATGTAGTTATTAATTTTCCAAACGCAAGAATAAAATCAAGTTATGAAAAGATTCAAAAACGGAAATCACCAAGCTCCGGAGTCCGGACTTCAGACCAGTAACGGTAACGGCCAGTAACGGTAACGATTGAGGATTCCTTCTCTTCCAGATCACTCCCAAGAACCCTAGATTTTCTTCTAGGGTTTCTCCCTCCCTCTCTGAAGCTCCAAAACGATGCCTTCGTCCCCCAAGTTCTTCCACGCGCGCCAACCTCCCTCCGCTCTCAGACCAACCGTCCTGATCGTCGCCTTTTCCCTCGTAATCGGACTCTCCGGTTTCATCGTCGGAAT